TCCCCCCCTCATCTGTCTCTCTACAAAAACTCGACATCAAGACATTTACCCGTTTCCATTGAAATGGTTGTAAAGCCCGTTCTCCACTAGGCGAATTTGTTCGCGCGAACAGTAAAAAAAGTAGGAACTGATCCAACTTTTTCGCGGCGATTTTTTTCGCTGACCAATCACATTGCCAAAATTTGTTTTTCGCTTCGCGTCGCGCGAAAAAATTGCCTAGTGGAGAACTGGCTTAACACAACCAGGTAACGACGAATATCCCCGCCTTTGCCAAGTTCCGTCACAGGAACACCGCACTGGAGAACTTCGTCATCACTGTCATTGACATTGTGTAACTCTTTACCAGAATTCCCCATCACAGCAGTAGCCACAGTCTTGGCTGCTTTCGACAAGGCATCATTTCAAGCCGAATAGCAGGTTTCAGCGGTGGGGCATATTCATTAGGGAACAGAAACGTCTTGCGGAAGCTTCTCCTTGTTCAATGCTTCTCATTGCATAAACAAGTCTTCTGTTTACATAAAAATATGCCAGCCACATTTATCACAACGCAGCCGAAGATGAGAAGCACAACCTTTTCTTTCCCGAGGATCATGTTCAAGACTAAGACTGGATTCTCCACATAACTTACATGGCATTTGCTGAAAAAGTTCATTCAGTATTTCCACATCAATGAAACGATAACCAGTTATTTTAGGTTGTTCATCTGTGGAACTGCTGCTGGTAGCATCAAAGCTACAAGATTGATCTATTTTTCTCTCAGAAACAGAAACTAGAAACGCCTGGTTGCTCGATTCTGTCATCACAAGGTTTCTTTGCATAAATTACGTGCAGATTCCCATGGAATTTTCTCTTTCTCCACCTCGATCCTTCCCTTACCATTTTCCAAAGACAATTGTCCACAAAGAGAAGTAAATTCGGCGAAAAGTACAAACACAGCGACCAAAATTAAAAATTTCACTGCTTCGACACAAATATGGCTTCGAATTTTTATTTGAAAAATAATGAAGACCGGTCAGCGGTAGCAAAGTTAACATGCAAATACTTCAATACAGTATACTTAAAGGGAGGTGTGAAAACTGATCTAAGTATAAATTATTCAAACTTTAGAACGCTTTTAAAGTGCATATGACATAAATTTTTTATTTTCTTAAATGAAAGGACACTTTAAGCTGTAGTGTAACTTATTTTTCAGTTTCTTGTTTTCATGGTTTGTTTCCGAGATATTTCAATATGTTTGGTATGTAAATGAGTGTGAATATGTCCGCTAATTTATGACGTCACGTTGGTTGCAAGCTCAACTTACACTGGTTATAAATATATTAACTCTAAAAACTGTACATCAGTTCACGTTTTTCTCCAGTATTTTATCACATTTACCAGTGAGCGAAGTTAGAAATTATTATCTTGGATAATAGCCGTGATATTCAACCATTTTGAAGAGCTTGCAACCAACGTGACGTCATAAATTAGCGGACATATTCACACTCATTTACATACCAAACAAATTGAAATATCTCGGGAACAAACCACAAAAACAAGAAACTGAAAAATAACTTACATGTACACTACAGCTTAAAGAGTTCTTTCATTTAAGAAAATAAAAAATTCATGTCAAATGCACTTTAAACAGGAAAACATCTGGTTGCTATGCCTATGGGCGTTGCTAAGTGTAAATTTATGGAATTTGCTAAATTTTCAGGTTTCTTAGGTATTTTTGAGCAATAAATTGATACAAATACAGATATGATTAAGGATCTATTTTTTCTTGAAAAGCAAAAATGTTCTTATAGAGTCATAGACCAGTAGGACAGTTTTGCTTAATATATGTTCAGGAAAAAATAGATCCTTCATGTTCAAAACTTAACAAATCTTGTGATCATTCTTAGTGAGCGTGCACCACAACTATTTCGCGCTACTTTAGAGTACATAAGCTCGACGAACGATTCATCATTTACAGATCTCCACTGTTACATTCACTAAGTTAATTTTTGGACAACGGGCGACCTCTCCGGAGGTTTTCCTTAAATATACATAGAAATCTAACCTTGTAATGTCAACATTTACCTAATCTATATACGCTAACCCTAAAAACCTTTAACCTAACCTTATAATATTTATATCTATATACATATGTACACTAGCGGAAATGTTTCGCATCTTGGTCAGCTTTCCGTCTAATTGTCTTAATCTTCTCCTTCAGTTGTTTTTCGCTGAAGCGTGTGCCAATCAAGTGTTCCTTGCACACACTGTCATTTAAAATGGACCAGGTCTCTATTAAATATGGCAAACAGACCACAGCACACATTGCTTTCTCTTAAAGTATTGATTCGTTTGAGAAGTGCGTTAAGTGTTCTTCCTCTGATTCTACATGCATACAAGCTGGTTAAAAAAGCTCATCTTTGTCAGGTCTCGTATTTTCAACCTACTTGTCTGTATTTAGAAATCAGAGGAAGAACACTTACTTGTGTTAGAACTAGTACGTAATATGTATAATTCGACTATGCTATGAATACCAGAAAAAAATTCTAAAATCTGCCACAATTCCGCAAGTCAACTTCTAAAATAATGAATATATTCTTACTTGCTTATATGATGTACGAACGAAGGCAGAGCTTCAGTCGAAGATATTTCTCCGGTATTCAGTCTTACTGCTTCATCTAGCGTAGTAGCTATCGAGGATACTAACCGCAAAATATAACCTAGCTTCACACTCATTTTGACGGACTTATTTCACCAAAAAATTCATCGTACTTTAGACCAAAATGCAGCAAATTTCACGAAGTGTTTGATTTTGGCGGTGTCCAGCGTCATACGCATGCGCAAATGGGCTCTAGAGCCTGTTCACCTGAGCCGATGACGCGCACGTAGTGTAAATTACTATTAAATATATGGGCAACCGCCTCTAATGCGCAATTCTTTGTGAATAATTAAGAAACAAGAGCGAGAAATGTGCAAAATGTTGCCTTATTTTGGCGCAAATATTGTGAAATATGAAGCTGTGAAATTCGAAACTACTTTTTGTATTGCGAAAGTTTGATATGTCCATCACTCTCCTTGGGCGTCTTTCTCTGGAAAGTTAAAAAAACAACACATGAGGACATTTCTTCTAATTATAATTGATTTGGGCTGTGTGTTAATAATGATATTCTGACTGATGTGAAAAGTACATTATTTTGAGATAACAAGTTCAAACCTTTTTGGACTTTTCCTTCTCTTCATCCTTACTCTCCTCTCCATCACTCTCCTTGGGCGTCTTTCGGGAAAGATAAAAAAAAACACATGAGGATATTTCTTCTAATCATAATTGAATGATTTGGGCTTTGTGTTAATAATGATATTCCGACTGATGTGAAAAGCACATTTGAGATAACAAGTTCAAACCTTTTTGGACTTTTCCTTCTCTTCATCCTTACTCTCCTCTCAATCACTCTCCTTGGGCGTCTTTCTCTGGAAGATAAAAAAAAAACACAGGAGGACATTTCTTCTAATTATAATTGATGGATTTGGGCTGTGTGGTAATAATGATTTTCCGACTGATGTGAAAAGTACATTTGAGATAACAAGTTCAAACCTTTTTGAGCTTTTCCTTCTCTTCGTCACTACTCTCCTCTCCATCACTCTCCATCGGCGTCTTTCTCTGGAAAGATAAAAAAACACATGTAAATTCTAATTGTAATTGATAGAATTGGGCTGTCTGTTAAAATGATTAAAATGGCAAATTTCACTCAACACAACATTTCGCGTTGTGTAAGACCACCTTAAGTAACAGACGGTAAGCAAAATTCGGTCGTTGAGAAAATGACCGTTAAAGTTAGTGAACTATATCATGAGTGTTTCCTAATGCACCGGTACAATGTACCTGTCTGCCCAAACTCAACATTTAACAGTGTAAGAATGCCAAATAGTCACTTTTGTTGTTTGCCACTGATGAGAACTGTCAATGGTGCATCATCACTGTCCTCAGATTCATTATTAGCCAAACGTCTAGCTAATGTATAGTCACCACCATCATCGTCATCAGATGATAAAGCGTCAAAGGGGTCAACTTCATTAAATATACCACTGGCATAGGATGTTTAACTTTGGTTTGTTGCAAGCTTAGCTTGCCTTGTTTTCCTTCTCCTTTCATTCTGTTTCGTCTTTGTCTTTCTTATCGAATGCCACAACCTATTCTCGACATCTTTTGCTGTACACGCTTCCAATGTAAACTCACCACCTGGAATGTTTGCTGTTTTCACAACATCCTGCCTTGAGGCAGCACCAGAATTAAATGACAGGATAGCTCAGCCTAGACCTAGGCCTTCTATTTTTATTATTTTTTTTTATATTCACCTCTTTTTCACATGAGAAGACTGGACCTAGGCGATTTGGGAGCGGGGCGGAGGAAGGCGAAAGCGAAAAAATAGAAGGCCTAGCAGATTTTTCAATCCGATGCCAAAAACTGCCCCGAATTTGCCCCATTTGCTTGCATTCTCAAACTGATTTTTTTGCAACTTAACAGCAAATTGTAGAGCCAAATTTTGGAATTTTTCAATTATTGCAAGTTTTAATCCGGTAACTTTGAAGAAAATTCGCCTATAATTCATTAAAGGTGCAGTCAAGTCCGTAATATAAACAAACGCTTTGTTTACATTTCGAACTGCTATATTTGTAAAATATGATATACCAACTGAATATATAACACTGTTCTGGTTTAGTATGCTCGTAAATGAATATAAACCAGAGTTTCAATTCAGAAAAAGTTCAAAAGATGCGAAATTTGGGCAATGTTTACATCTGTGGGTCCCCCTTTGTTATGAGCAGAACCGATACGCAGAACGGACTTGACAGCATCTTTAAATTTTAGGTGGCAAGAGCCACAGTTTCTCGCTCAACATAAGTAGACTTGGGACATCTGTCCCAGATAAGCCTGTCCAAGCATTCGTTAACATTCTGTGTCAATCCGTGAGTACATTTATTCAAAAGTTCAGTCTTACTAAGATCTTTATAAATAGGCTTGATCAAGTCAACAATACAGCTTGGGATTCCATTTTTATGTTTATATCCCTCCTTATCTCTCTTATATCCACATGATGCTGTGGATTCTCAGCAGTTGACGCAACATGGTAAAGAGATGCTTCTATGGACTTCGCCATTTTACCAACATCATCAAGGTTTTCTCTAACTGCCAAGCCATAATAATTTTGTAAAGCATCTATTTTACTGTCAGTCATCCTACCTTTACCAGCTAAACCTTTACCATCAGCCAATTTCAATCCTTTGTTGGAACTTTTAAGTTTGCGGAGACGACTTCCAACCCTCTTTTGAACATGCCCAATGCATTCTAATTTGTTTGGAATGCAATCCTCTCCATATGGCTGGCTTTCAACAATGGTGTTATAGGTTGAGGAATCACCATCTCCAAGCATATCCATATATTTCAGCCCTCTTGTAGCTAGAGACCGTTCAAACATCCGAACAGCACCAGTTGTCTCCATGCTGCCAGCACTTCCTTGATGATTGATCTTGCACTTGTGGGATGCTTTCCATGCATTGTACCTTGGGTCATTTATCTTCTTTTCCCACTTTTGGCATTGTTGACACTTGTCTGACAACACTTCCACATCGAGACATTTCTTTGTGTCCAAGGAGATCACAGTAACAACCCCATTGTGGGACGAATATCCTCTCTTTTGCCAAGTACCATCGATCGATATTCCACATTCTCTATCATCATTTGCCCTCTCATCTCCGGCTTTATAAGCATTGTTGACCATACTATCAGTGGCCAACTTCTTCACAACTGGCAAAACCTTTTCATTTTGAATCTTTGTGAAGACGCAGCGGGTTGGTGGAGCACTGCGGGCATATTCATGACCTTATTGAAGGTAGCCATAGCATTATGACCTTTGCCAATGGACCATTTGCAGACTAAATTTTGATCTAAACAAGCCTAGACAACACTTGAAAGAGCATCACATACGCGGGGGGAAATTGACCGCCCAATACCCTTTGGGCTGTCAATTTCCCGTTTGTAATAGAAAATGACTGAAAAACGGCAAATTTCGCAAGGCTATATTATCCGCATTTTACAACCTTTCGCAACGAAACTTTGGAATATTACTAATATTGTGATGCTCTTTCAAGCTGTGATGAAATTTTTGTCTAGACTTGTTTAGATCAAAATTTAGTCTATAATGCAAATGGTTGGTCCATTTCCCTGAAAGCCAGGACAGTTCTTACATTCACTTCATAAGAACGACCTTGTTTCTTTGAAGTGTTAAAAGAATACTTCCAATCACACTCCATATTCTTACATTGTAGCACAATGTAATTGGAATATCCACATTTCTTTCTCATGTTAACATGTGAATCGATATGACATCCACAATCAGGGCATTTCAAAACTTGGTCAAATACATTAAATAATATGGATAAGTCCATAAAAATAGTTCCTTCTTTCAGAGTACTATCAATGTTTTTCGACAAACCACGAATTAATTCAGTATTCTTGCTAATTTTTCTCGCAGAAGGTCCTGGATCTTTATAGCTCTTATAGATCTTTATAGCCATCTTGGATTATATTTCGTTTCCTTGACGGTGGAATCTTTCGTTTTTTCTCGCTCTGTTTCTCAAATTTCCCATCTATTCACTCCGAAATACAATCAAAACAACAGAAGGAATGTAATCATACAATTTAACAACAACTTTTTGACTTATTAACGCAAAAAAACCACCAATTTTCAGAGACAATTTTCACACAACTTGCTACAAATCGACCACGAGTTTGGATAGTCAGTGCGTAGCTATGCCGACGAAAGTGAACCAATCACAAGGAGATTTACAAGTATGGCTTTAAATACATCAAAAGTTAAATAGAAAAAAAACTATTTTAAAGTGAAATAATCAAGCAAATTTGGAAGGAAAACACGTTGCTATGGCGTCGCTATGGGTAAATTTTAAAGTGTGGACTCTTCAAACCTTGTTTCCTCATAAATAAGCATTTTTTTCAGGCAAACAAACCATGTTATCTTAAAGTATAATACTTAAAGTACCTAAATATATGAAAAATAAAAATTTGATTTTTTCTTCAAAAATCACGTTTTGAAGGCGAATGACCATCTTAAGGATGAATAGTATTGAAATTTGAAAAGTGTCACATAATAGATGATGTTACAATCAGTAAGTATGCCAAATATCAACCCTCTGCAATAAATAGTTACAAAATTACAGTGTCATAAAGATCACTTACACATGTCAAATTGTGAAAATGAGAAAATCCAATCTAAATTTTTCGTTCATGTTTTTCTCACAACATATTAAAAGGTTTAGAAGCTACCTGTGTCATAGGTTACCCCTTCCTTGTCCTCAGCATTATCTAGAAACTTCTTCCTGAGGTGTCTCAGTGTTTCCTTCTTGATTTGACTTTCTCTGAGCTCTTTCGGGCCACTTGATCCTCGCTCTGTCACAGTCTTGGGCACCTTTTCCAGTGAAGAACCCAGGCGTTATATCCAAATCTTCCAGAATTTTAAGGTATGAAATGTCCCCATCATTAAACTTTACGAGTGCTAAGTAGGTGGCAAGAGCTACAGTTTCCTGCTCTACATATGTAGTCTTTGGACATCTGTCCCAGATGATTCCGTTTAAACATTCATTTGGATTCTGGGTCAAAGCCATGGATGCACTTCTTCAACAAAGCTGGGTCAGTGAAATCAGCAAATATAGGCTCAACCAACACAACGATGGGCTTTGGAATACCATTCTTATGTTTGTATGTTTTGAAATCTCTTTGATAGCCACATCCACTGTCCTTTCCTTTCCTTTCGGGCAAAGATGATGCTCCGGGTTCTCTTCTGTTGAAGCAACGTGGAGAAAAGACACCTTTACAGCCTTAGCCATTTCTTCGACATTATTAAGGTTTTCTATTATTGCCAAACCATAATAATTTGGTAGAACATCCTTCTTTCCAGTAGTTAGGCGACCTTTGCCAGATATTCCTTTGCCACCTGAGAGTTTTCTGCCTTTATTGGAACTCTTTAGCCTCCGCAGTCTGCTTCCGACTCGCTTCTGGACATGCCCGATACATTCTAGTTTGCTGGGTAAACAGTCCTAGCTCCATTGGGTTTGCTTTCTAGAATAGCACTATAAATTGACGAATCACTATCTCCAAGCATATCTTTGTATTTCAGCCCCTTTGTAGTGCATGGTCCTTCAAAGATCCTTAAGGCACCAGCTGTCTCCATGCTGCCAGAACTCCCTTATGGTTGATCTTGCATTGATGGTTGGCTTTCCATTCTTGATACTTTGGATCATTCGGCTTTTTGCTGCACTTGAGACACTGCTGGCACTTGTCGGACAGGACTTCAACATCAACATCAAGGCACTTCTTTGTGTCGAGGGAAATTGCCGTAACGACACCATTGTGAGACGAATAACCGCACTTCTGCCGTCTATGGATATTTCACATTCTCCAGCATTGTTTTCAATGTTTTCCTTGACATGCATAGGATTGTTGACCATGCTATCATTGGCACACTGCTTCACTACATGTAAAAGCTTTTTATTTTGGATCTTTGTGAAGTTGGCACGTCTAAAGGCCAAGACTGCTCGGACATTGACTTCATAGGACTGTTCTTTCTTCTTTGAAGTATTAAAAGTCGCAGCCACATACTGCAAAGAAATATAATGAGCATATCCATGTTTTTTCCTCATGTCAACATGCGACTTCATTTCATCCCCACAATCAGGACATTTCGGAATTTTATCAAAGACACCAAAAAGACCCATTGCACATGACGTCACAGCGCCGGTAATGATGCATCTGGAGGACTAGTTAACAATGTATGCATAATACAGCTTTTGTAAACAAAGCAAATTTTGTAAAAGTTCATAATAATTTTGTATTAAGAAAAATGGTTAATTTTTGCGCTGTATGTGGTTATTGTACCCGAACATATATTGTTAGGGAGCATCTGGAGGACACTCTAAGGAATAATTTACTCGTTTGCCCCCCTCCACCCCACAAAACAATGTTGGACGTTTTATCCATATTCTACAAATGCAATCAACATTGATTGGTGGGGGGTAAGGGCGAGGTTTTCAAAATTTACGATAATATTACAACATTTTGTCAAGTAATTGGAAGTGTTGCAGACGTTTTGTCCAGGATTGTAGCCCCGAAATTGACCAAAGCTGCCTAAGACAGCCAAGTAAAGGTCTGGGCTGAGGATAGCTAACATCACAGCAGGTTCCACAACATGAGCACCTTTATACAGGTGTTTAGACCACAGTTCCAAACAAGGCTGTTGAGGCTTGGTTTACATTCTGTGAATACCCAGGAAAACAACGAAGCAAAAGAGAATACTCACGAAGGCGTTCGAATTCATGAAGCAGAAAACCTAAAAAAAAACACTGCATCTAAATGATGATCTTTTACCATTTATTACGAGCGGACAGTATCTGTGCAACCTCGTTCCCAGGGTATTTGCTCTTGGGAAGCAAAGACCCTGGTGGACGCTGGTCACGCGACCCATAGAAAATTGATAGCCTCAGAGGGGGATGGAAAGGTCTCATATTACATGTTTCCACTTCCGCACTTCACACTTCGATTGCAAGGAGTGGCCGTGCTGTACAATAATCTTTGAGAATCATATATTCTTCAAAATTCTTGCTAAATTGGTTTCTGTTTGCCGTTTTAAATTATACAAACATGGTAAAATGCAGATTCTTGTACTAACAGACAAGTCAGCAAATCAAGCAACGAAAACGTATGACCGTATGGTTTGAAATATTTGCGTTTTTAATATTCTCTCGGGGTTCGGGAGCAATATTTTCATTTCATACGTACGTTTCTGTCCTGGCTCTGCCTCTGGTTCAGATATTTACAATATTCTTATAATATGCCATTGAATTGTTGTCATATAGAAAGGAAACGGTATAAATTTTGTAAAATAGAGGTATCAAAAGCGATTGACAAAATTGTTTGGAATCGACACTCGACAGTGCACTTTTTTGTCTTCACGACTACCTGTTTGTTGAGCCAAAATATTGCACAGAAATGCAGAATCTCCTATAATAAATTATAGCTATCGCCATTCATCCTCCCACCCTGAATGCAAAGGAATGATATCCGAAAAGATTTAGCAAAGTATTTGTTATTATATCTGGTACGAAGTGTCCCTATACGTTTTATCAGGGATATATATTTATATATACATAATTCATAAACTGTATATGCGCACCAAGTCTCGCTCATAGAATTACTTAATGAGTTTTATTAAGCCTTTTAAAGTTTCTATTGATACTGATAGATAGGTTGTTTGCTTACAGTTACGAAGTATTGTTTGGTGAAACTTCTAAAATTTCAATTACAGTTACGACACAGTATAGGGGTCAATACGATAAATATTAAAGACTTAAAGTTGATTTAAATATTGATGACTCACAGCGGCATTGTACAAGTCGAAAGAAGCTGGATTTTAAGTTGGATTATTCTTCAAATAATGCCTGGGCATTAATACCAATGCCAATGAAAGGTCTTTATAAGATTTATAATGTTTACTGCAATATATGATATAATTTAGTCTAGTGCACATATCGTCCTAGGACCTAGATATTCAAGTTGTACCGCACGCACCGAGGAGTCTTGGCGTGTGATAACAGTATACTGTAGCTGTACTTCGACATATATCATTCTTGATCATTGAGCTGTTTCAGCAATGTAAATAAAAGGAATAACGGGTTTTAATCCTGTGCTTACTGTAATTCACAGTCAAAACAGCACTATTGTTTTTATATACACAGTTGGCAATGTTCAGTACTTCAGTTGGGAAATCAAAGGATCCCGTTATAAAATAAATCCTTTGTTTTGAATATCGGACAGGATACATTTCAACTATAAACAACCATATCATATCGTTCGTTTTATATAAATACCGTTTGATCGATCAGTCGGTGTAGAAGATATCAGATATGTATGTTTATACGGCGATCTGATGCGTGCTCACTAGCCAGGCGCGTGTGGAGTATATTTTTCCTTGCAAGTGAAATATGATCCAGCTTCTCGCTTGAAATGGACCGCAGCACTTATTATTGATGACATTCAATATAGCAGGAAATCTTGTCATGATGAGTACGAATTTAGAACAGTATAAATCATGTTTATTAATACATGTAAACTGAAGTATACAGCACTAATGCATCTGGCGAATGTCAACTACTACATTCCCACCCCTCCCAGATTGACAAAACAACGCTAATTAAAAATCTGCTAGATTTTAGCAGATCACGTGACCAGCGTCCACCAGGGTCTTTGCTTCCCAAGAGCAAATACCCTGGGAACGAGGTTGGTATCTGTGTCGCTCTTTCTTATTGGGAAGTTTACATTTGTGATAGAGAACTGTCATTATAGCCCTTTGCATTATCGTTATTTGTTCCTTTTGCTCTTCTGAAGTTAATTTACAAGGCTTAACATTTGCCCTGATTGCATTTGCATGATAGGTTTGCAGCTTATCTAGGATTTTGTCCGTGAGTCGGTGTTTGCTGCCTTTCACTGATGTTCTTTCCATCCTTCAACTTTGGTTCTTTTTTCCTCAGTTCTAGCAAGTGAGTTCCCATTCTTTTCTGGACATGGCCAACACAATCCAATTTCGAAACTCTTGCACATTTAGCCTTTCCACTTTCATGACTTTCCTTCCATACCTCATAATCCTTCGACTCACGCCATTTCCTGTACTCAAACTTGTCAATCTTCTCCCATTTCTTGCAATCATCGCAACAACCATAGGTGTGCCAGATACTTCCTTCCATACGCTTTACTATCCCCATCACAGACCATAAATTTGTAATGTAAATTGATCTCCTTAGACCTGTCCTGCATCTTTTTGGCTGTGGAGCACTCCATGACAAGAGCTTTTTACCCCCCCCCTTATACTTCTTTTGTTGACTTCTTTACCTGTGGTAGTCGTGGCCATGCCACCATCAACCTAACAAGAGAAAACGCAAAATTCTAAACCTGTATAAAGACGAAATTGAAACTGTGACGAAACAAAAGTTACACATCTCACACGACTGCAAAAATCAATTGACCATCAATAAAGTACAAATAGTGTACGTCCAACACAACTGCCAAAATCGCGTCGTATGCACTGTTTCAGTTCTTTTCCTTTTGCTCTCATTTCCACTTTGCGTATAAATGCTTTCTCCTTCTCATGGTATCGGTTAACAATGTTAATTATTATACTGCGGCCCCTGGCGTTGTTGTCTTTCATTGTATAATATAAATATTTATCCTTCTCGCCGAAGAATGAAAAATAAAAGTTTGGCACGTTGGAAAATAAATATTTAATTGTAAGTCTGGGCACACTAACACCATCCTTAAAAATGTCAATGTCTCTCTCCTTCCAAAAGTCGCTCTTGAAAGGTTTCCATACCGTTCTCGTCCCATACACGCTGGCAATACTCGCACTGTTTGTTTGTTTGTTTGTGATGTCTGTATTGGACAACGTTAATGAAATGCAGGAAATTGTGGGAAAGTTTAATTTCTCGATGGAATCGACCCATTTGTACGGGAAATAGCCTTTGTCTGCGTGCACTCATGCGCTTTAAGGAACTGGTCATAACTGAAACCAGCATCCATGCAAGTAATTTGTGATATTGAAAAACTTTAAAATGAAGGTCTTCAGACACATATATGATTGTTTGAATCAGGAACCGAGTCTTTAGCTCCTTCAATTTTAGTAAATATTTAATATTCATCTTCATTATTCATAACCAAACATCATCTTCGCAAATATTTACCATAGCATAGCCACTACAACACATACAACATTTATCGAAATGGGGTCAAAGAACGAACAACAATGTACCAATGGTTTATCAGACTAAACACGAAGATGTCCATAAAACTAGAAGGGCATAATCGGAACAGCTCGCTTCGAGTTCGGTAAAAAATGGTACCAACATGCTCATCATGCCGCGACCTTTTGCCTACCACCATATTTGAAAAGATTGAATTCTGGATTGGTTAATCCAACACATATATATTTTCTTGTTAGCTTTTATACAGCTACAACACAAATCATAACACCCACATATTTTGTGAGAAATACATTTCTTAACACGAAGAGGTGGCCAAGACATTTCAGCCGCTGACTCGAGCGGTTCCTCATTTGACTCGCGTCTCCAATGGCAATGAGATAAATAGTTCAACATACACTATAGTTCGCGATTCTCAGTATTTTGATGTAATTCTAAGGAATAGACAAACGTTGTATCTGGATCTTTTTCCATTTTCCGCTAACGCTCGAGTACATCTCGTGGCTTTAGCAAATTTGCTTGTAAACCATACATTTGTCATCGTTCGAATTCGTCCATTATAAGGCAGTCATGTTGTCTTTGACTATGATGATTGACAATAACAGCATAATTCCTCGCATTAAACACGAATAAATGAAGTGAATCCTCTTTTTGCCCATGTTCCATCAAAACTAACAGTAACATCAAAAATGTTATTATTGTCATGGTTTGTCTCTTCGTCCGAATGTGACTCACTATGGAAGTGTAGAATTACACCAAGAAGTGTTTCTTAACACAAAGATGGTGTAAATTGCTTGCCTCCATTTGTACACCAAACCGGTGTAAATTAACTTTTCCAAGTGTAGAATTACACCAGAAAGTGTTTCTTAACGGAACACTCCACTAAAAAGATATTGAGGTGCAAACAAGAGATTGTACTTACGTTAGGTTACTTGCGAAGTTTGAAAGGACAATTCTTTTTAGGTAAGGAGGAATTGGTCATCGAAATTTGTAAGAGCCCTTATAGAACGACGCCATGTTGTCTTTCTCAAGCGGACGCGTAAGACCAGCCAAGGCCAGCGGTTTCACAAAAAAATGACGTCACTGAGTGCTTTCATTCTTCGCGCGAAACTTCAAAAACTTTCATTATACTGTGGTAGTGTTTACGGTTTAACTAATTGTGTTAAATCGACTGTGAAATTAGCAAAATATCTAAACAACAATTGAGTTGTTGAACTTGCTCGAGTTGTTCCTCCTGATATTTCGCAACCAAATGCTTTTAGGTGGACCACTTGGCAGTCTAGCTAATCTTAAGCAATTCTATATATTGGGTTAACAATTTTCTGTTTCAGATAGATAACATTGTGATTTCCTCAAGTTATACTCTCAAATAATTTTGGCTTTTAGACTTGTAGCAATCAGCAATGTAGCCATAATTATTCATATTCACATATTGTTTATGCTATGTGGTTTCAGACACGCTTTCGAGTTTTGCCAAACAAGTACAACCTACCATTTAAAATAATGTGTTTATTCAAAATGTGAATTCTTGATTTTAACTAATATTTGACGCAATATAAAACGTACGAATTCTTGCGCGCGCAAATTCAAATTTTAGCAGCCCGCCAGCCACAACAGCCACAAGATATTAAATGAGATAATAGGGTCGATGGCCGTTATAATTATATGCTATATAAACAGTAATATTTCATACTTGAGATCAAATAAGCCTTCGGCAGAATTCGGAGTCACTTATCCAATACAAAATATGATAAAAAGCATACTTTTCTTCAGCGAAATATATTCAAACGAAAAAGTCGAAAATTTGCAAATGGCACTTGACATTTGATACACAACATCCCACAAATCTGCCATGTAAAGTGTAGCGAAATGTATTCAATACTAGTCGTCTTAATTAATCATGGACAACTTAAACCTCTGCAGAGGAGAGAGCCACAACTTATTGCGCGTGTAGCCCTTGTCTTCTAAAATAGATAACCAAGAAGCGCTCCCAATCTATTGCTAACGTGAAACTGAAGAATAAAGCTGGCCAAAAAATAATAATAAAAAATTGCTGAAAAATTTTGTAAGCGAATAATGAAGATATAGATTCTTCTTAAAATTATATGCCAATTACCATAATATAAAAAATTTATGCGTGGTAAGGTAGTCAAACCCCACTACAACTTTTTTCTTAGTTTTAAAGAGATCAATGTGAAAATATCATATTTTGAAAGGGTAAGGGAAAGAGAATTGACCCATGGAAAAAAATTTGGGAAAAACATTAATTACACTAATTATCCAATATGGAGGCCACTAATTAACGCATAATTGCAAAGCATCGGAAACATCATAACTCAGGAACCAATGAACCAAATTTAATGAACAATATATTTTCAGAAAGCTTGGAGAATGAACTAGTGCCTAAAGCTCTTCAATTTTGTTTAAAATCCTTTAAAAAAAAATTGAGCCAAATTTTAAATATTTGAATAATTTTATGAATAAATTAGTGCCTTTGTGGAAGCAATTTGCAAATAATTCATCAATGATAAAAAATATCAATATCTGAAGAGCTTTATTCACTAGATAATGTTATTGAAAGTAACCACACCAAATATCAATCTAATACAGCTAATATTTACAAAATTATAAAGTCACAAAGATCGATGATACCTGAGAAATAGCAAAAATGAGAAAATTGAATTGAAAAGTTTGCTTTGATGTCAATGTACCTTAAAAAGTGTTAAAAGCTTCCAGCTTCATAAACCACACCTTCTTTCTCTTCTATCTCATCAACAAAGTTTTTCCTGAGGTGCCTCAATGTTTTTCTTCTACTTTTTACTGTTTCCTTGCTCTTTTTGGCCGACAGCTCAATTCGTGATTGGTCACAATCTTGACAACCTTGTACAGTAAATGAACCAGGCTTGATATCTAAGTCTTCAAAAATCTTTAGAAAGGAAATGTCCCCATCATTAAATTTCACGACAGCCAAATATGTAGACAGAGCTACAGTTTCATGTTCCACATATGTGGTTTTGGGACAGCGATCCCAAATTAGGCCATTTAGACACTCATTGACATTTTGTGTCATTCCATGAGTGCATTTTTGGAGCAATTGAGGTTGGCTTAATTCATCAAAGATTGGTTTAATTTTCTTGACAATGCACTCAGGTATACCATTCTTGTGTTTGTACGATTCTTCGTCCCTCTTGTATCCGCACCAACTGTCTTCGCCATTCGGACAAAGATGATGTTGAGGGTTTAAATCTGTCGAAGCAACATGGTATAAACTTGCTTTAATCGATTTGGCCATTTGGCCTTTCCCATCAGCCAATTTCAAACCTTTATTTGCACTTTTTAACTTGCGCAACCTGCTGCCAACCCGTTTTTGGACATGACCAATGCACTCCAATTTCTTGGGTATACATTCATCTCCATAAGGCTTCCTCTGAACAATTTTATTATATGTTGCTGAGTCCCCATCACCAAGCATGTCCTTATATTGTAGACCCCGTGATATGTATGACCTTTCAAAAATCCGCAAAGCACCAACTGTTTCCATGGAGTTAGCACTCCCAGTGTGGTTGATTTTACACTGGTGGTTTGCCTTCCATTCTTGGTATTTTGGATCATTTTGTTTCTTTTGCCATTTCTGGCATGCTTGACACTTGTCGGAGAGTACTTCGACATCCAGAACTTTCTTGGTATCCAGGCTTATTGCGGTAACAACACCATTGTGTGACACATGGCCCCGTCTTTGCCAAGTACCATCAAGGGAAATCCCACATTCACCTTTGTCATTTCCACAGGAATCCTTGACATTCATGGCATTGTTCATCATACTGTCATTGGCTACCTGTTTAACAACAGGCAATAACTTTTTGTTCTGTATTTTGGTAAAGTTACGACGGGTTGGTGGTGATGGCATGTTCATAAGTTTGGTGAAAGTCACCATAGCATTATGGCCTCTGCCAATCTCTCTAAATGCAAGGACAGCTCTCACATTTACTTCAAATGATGGCCCTTGTTTTTTCGAAGTATGGAAGCAGTATTTCCAGTCACATTCAGTATGTTCACATTCCAGTACAATGTAATGTGAAAAGCCATGCTTCTTCTTCATGTCAATATGAGAAGTCATTTTGTGTCCACATTCTGGGCATTTTAAGACTTGATCAAACACGCCAAATAAAACTGACATGTCCATAAATAAGGTGCCTTCTTTGCCAGAATCCATTGAACCAGAATTCTCGCCAAACTTTCCCTCCACATCGCCAATCTTCATCTTAGAAGGCCCAGCGTTTTGATCACATGGTTCGCCATCTTTGAATTTTTTAGCACTCTTCTGCCAAGCAACTCTTGCTCGTTTTCTCTTCCTATTGCGAGTATTTCCCATATTTTTATAGGAAACCACAAACAATAACTAAATCAAACCAATATTTAACAAACAGAAGTAATTTTCGACGAAAATATACAGGAAAAACGAACAATTTCGAGCAGATGTTTACAGCCAGTGGGTCAAAGACGATCGCGAATTTGCTATGCAAAATGTGATCGCGCATGCTTGTAAAATGGTCGTTAAATACCATACACGAAAAGTAGAAACCAGAAAAAGTCTTTAAATACCATACACAAAAAGTAGAAACCAGAAAAGATAGTTCATAGCTGAACAATTTGAAGATATATGGGTGAAAAGTCGTTGCTAAGGCGTTGCTAAGAAGGAAAATTTGTATAACCACAACTTCAGAAGCATTTTTCGCATTTAAAAATTAAAAATTTCATGAAAGTAATTTGAAATTCTAAAACTACACTATTTAAAATACCTAAAACACACAAAATCAAAATTTTGAAAAAATATTGATAAATGCCTAACAAAAGGGATATGACTACCTTAAAATTCAACAAAGTGTGCAAGCCAAAACACAGTGCTTGTACATCTTTTAATTACCTCAAATATATTTAAAAGGACATATGGTACTAGAATCTATTTGTTTTCAATATAAACCAAGGATGGGAAGGTGAGAAAATAGGAATTTTCTGAGGTGTTTTTAACACAGACAATGACAGCCGACATTTTCAAAGGCAAATTGCGGTGACAAAACCAAAAGTTATTCACTTCTCTACTCAAAGCACTGAAAAACACCATAAAGAGAAAAACATTTTAAACATACATCAGGTAAGCCTTTTATCTCAATTTTCTCATGTTTCTGTTTGGAAAGAAACGGTTTTTAGCCAAAATTATTTTGCGCGCCAATGTAGGCTGCTATAAAATGTCAGACACGCGTTCTCTTTTGAAGTCTGGCTCTGAAAAACAATCGCTTTTTTTTTAGTTTGAAATAAGCTTTCATTAGGACTAATTGTGTAGAAATGTTATCTGTATGCTCAAATGAAAAAGATAACCTAATATTCAGGTATTCAACATAGCTATAAAAGGGTGAAATAAGGACTTTCATCTTTGGTTGTTTGTCAGACATGAGAAACCACATTAGTGCCATTTTGTCGCGCATGCTATTTTATAAAATAAACACCTCAAAACCATAAACTTTTAGTTCAGAAAACTACAAAGTTTCCCATAGACATTATTAAAAATGTTCTAGTGAAACGATTTCATGATAAATAAGCGAGCAATGGGCTCGAAAGGACGGCTAAATTATGTTTTTGTTGGGACTTCAGTTTCATAGCTTCCCGCAAAGGAAGCCATTTCAGAGAGAAGCGACAACAACGGCAAACAACCGTCGCGACCAAATTTTGATAACTTTTCCTTCTGATTCAACATGTAGTTACTAGAAAATGAGGTTGGATCAACATTACTATCTGCCTTATCGATTTAAAGTTTTATGGGGATATAAAACCCAATACAAAAAGCATTTTAAAAGCTTTATAACTCAAGTGCAGACTTTTTGAGAATTCGCACGCGGCAAGCAAGCGCATTAATTCAATACACTTATTTCAAGCCACAATATGTCTGAAACGAGTTGTCATTTTAAGACTAAATTGATGAAAATAGATATAACAGTGATTTTGGAGTACCCTACTTGTGCCCAAATTTGCATAAACAGTTCGTCTAAAAAGATAACTTTAAACTAGATTCAACCAACATTAATGCAGTCGAATTTTGTGAGTGTTTGATCGCATATTTCTACTCAAAAATACCCTTTAAAGGACATTGGCAATAAATTTTTTTATTGCTTTATCTGAAAGAGCATGAAAAAATAAGCCGATTGGCCGTTTACTGCTCTATTCTATCTCATCTGGTTCCGAAGTTATACGCAAAAATGTGCAAAATATAAATTGCTGATTCAGCACAACGTGTGACGTCATTGGTTGGGTAAGTATGTTTATTGAATAGTAAACTGAAGCATTGCTCAGTTATTATTGGCTCAAATCAAATGAAATTTTGCATACAGATAGTACATGATGAGACGCATGGAAAAATACTTCTAATTTTGTTGTCAAGGCAACACAGTCGTTCCCAGGCCCCTACACTGATTTTGAATAACTAGTTGCATTTATCTATGTGTATGTCATTTTCGAATTATTATCATGCAAGTAAACTTTCGGCATGCATAGGTATGGTACACATACTTCTGATATTATTTTATTCTTATAAGTACCATGAATGAAGCTGTTTTATAAAATTGGCGCAAGGGGCCTGGGAACAACATTGTTACCTTGGCAACAAAATTAGAAGTGTTCTTCAATACGTCTCATGTACAATCAGTATGCAAAATTTCATTTGATTTGGCCCAATAATAACTGAGCTATGCTTCAGTTTAGTATTCATTAAACATACTTACCCAACCAATGACGTCACACATTGTGCTGAATCAGCAACTTATATTTTGCACATTTTTGCGTATAACTTCCGAACTAGATGAGATAGAATAGAGCATTAACCGGCTAATCAGCTTATTTTTTCATGCTCTTTCAGACGAAGCAGTAAAATTTTTTGTTGCCAATACCCTTTAAAAAATCGTATCTGCTCACTTGTGTTCCGTGTTCATCTTTCTTGTGATTTCCAACTTCTATTTTTAATAAAGTTTGGAGAAATCCTCATCTTTTTGGCTGAAAATCTCGTGCATGGTTCACACAAAAACTTGGCCCCAAAACGTCAATACATTCGCTTTCCTTTCATGCCAAATTTTCGTTGTAGTTGATTCAGAAACCTCTTCTTTTCTTGCTTTTAAAACTTGCTGTAAAATCTTTCTTTGTAACAGAATCGCCATTATTCATTATTTTTGGAAAACTAAGATTTTAAACTTGAAAAACTTTGCGAGTTTCTGACCGATTTTCTTGCATGATACACCGTTGAAAAGCTCGAATTTCATGTTCTATTTTCGTATCCGTTGCTAGGCAACCCGATAAACACGTGCTCAAATATCATGCGCGCAAGTTAAGGTGTCATGCCAGGGCGCATTGTCCGTTTCCCACTTGTCAATCTCAGGGCGCATACGGGAGCATTGGGCTTTAATGAGTTAATAAAGTAGAGCCCATCATTAGAACCAGCTAAAAGTCCTAAAAGATCCTTTAACGCTATCGTATTTTATCACACTATATATGCAATTCAAAATTTGTTTGTTTTCGAATGGTCATGTTATGGCATGTCAGTAAATGTAGATACTTAGTATTAATTTCCATATTATGCTTACACTAGTTACTACAATGTTTGGCATAATTAATATTAGCTACAGACTATCTACATAATATGCAGTCTGAAACCTACAATGTACAGACATATATAGTCCATATTCTCTGACCAAAAAAGTTGCTGA